AGAGGCGTCTCATCACACTGCAGTGAAGAGAGGCGTCTCATCACACTGCAGTGAAGAGAGGCGTCTCATCACACTGCAGTGAAGAGAGGCGTCTCATCACACTGCAGTGAAGAGAGGCGTCTCATCACACTGCAGTGAAGAGAGGCGTCTCATCACACTGCAGTGAAGAGAGGCGTCTCATCACACTGCAGTGAAGAGAGGCGTCTCATCACACTGCAGTGAAGAGAGGCGTCTCATCACACTGCAGTGAAGAGAGGCGTCTCATCACACTGCAGTGAAGAGAGGCGTCTCATCACACTGCAGTGAAGAGAGGCGTCTCATCACACTGCAGTGAAGAGAGGCGTCTCATCACACTGCAGTGAAGAGAGGCGTCTCATCACACTGCAGTGAAGAGAGGCGTCTCATCACACTGCAGTGAAGAGAGGCGTCTCATCACACTGCAGTGAAGAGAGGCGTCTCATCACACTGCAGTGAAGAGAGGCGTCTCATCACACTGCAGTGAAGAGAGGCGTCTCATCACACTGCAGTGAAGAGAGGCGTCTCATCACACTGCAGTGAAGAGAGGCGTCTCATCACACTGCAGTGAAGAGAGGCGTCTCATCACACTGCAGTGAAGAGAGGCGTCTCATCACACTGCAGTGAAGAGAGGCGTCTCATCACACTGCAGTGAAGAGAGGCGTCTCATCACACTGCAGTGAAGAGAGGGCTACTGCAGTGAAGAGAGGCGTCTCATCACACTGCAGTGAAGAGAGGCGTCTCATCACACTGCAGTGAAGAGAGGCATCTCATCACACTGCAGTGAAGAGAGGCATCTCATCACACTGCAGTGAAGAGAGGCGTCTCATCACACTGCAGTGAAGAGAGGCGTCTCATCACACTGCAGTGAAGAGAGGCGTCTCATCACACTGCAGTGAAGAGAGGCATCTCATCACACTGCAGTGAAGAGAGGCGTCTCATCACACTGCAGTGAAGAGAGGCAGTCTCATCACACTGCAGTGAAGAGAGGCGTCTCATCACACTGCAGTGAAGAGAGGCGTCTCATCACACTGCAGTGAAGAGAGGCGTCTCATCACACTGCAGTGAAGAGAGGCGTCTCATCACACTGCAGTGAAGAGAGGCATCTCATCACACTGCAGTGAAGAGAGGCGTCTCATCACACTGCAGTGAAGAGAGGCGTCTCATCACACTGCAGGAAGAGAGGCTCTCATCACACTGCAGTGAAGAGAGGCATCTCATCACACTGCAGTGAAGAGAGGCGTCTCATCACACTGCAGTGAAGAGAGGCATCTCATCACACTGCAGTGAAGAGAGGCGTCTCATCACACTGCAGTGAAGAGAGGCGTCTCATCACACTGCAGTGAAGAGAGGCGTCTCATCACACTGCAGTGAAGAGAGGCGTCTCATCACACTGCAGTGAAGAGAGGCGTCTCATCACACTGCAGTGAAGAGAGGCGTCTCATCACACTGCAGTGAAGAGAGGCGTCTCATCACACTGCAGTGAAGAGAGGCGTCTCATCACACTGCAGTGAAGAGAGGCGTCTCATCACACTGCAGTGAAGAGAGGCGTCTCATCACACTGCAGTGAAGAGAGGCGTCTCATCACACTGCAGTGAAGAGAGGCGTCTCATCACACTGCAGTGAAGAGAGGCGTCTCATCACACTGCAGTGAAGAGAGGCGTCTCATCACACTGCAGTGAAGAGAGGCGTCTCATCACACTGCAGTGAAGAGAGGCGTCTCATCACACTGCAGTGAAGAGAGGCGTCTCATCACACTGCAGTGAAGAGAGGCGTCTCATCACACTGCAGTGAAGAGAGGCGTCTCATCACACTGCAGTGAAGAGAGGCGTCTCATCACACTGCAGTGAAGAGAGGCGTCTCATCACACTGCAGTGAAGAGAGGCGTCTCATCACACTGCAGTGAAGAGAGGCGTCTCATCACACTGCAGTGAAGAGAGGCGTCTCATCACACTGCAGTGAAGAGAGGCGTCTCATCACACTGCAGTGAAGAGAGGCGTCTCATCACACTGCAGTCGCATTAGTCTGCTGCCTCCTGCCACCCGCACCCCACGCTCTGGCATGACTAGTCCAGGCTCAAGCAAACGAATCAGAGAATGGTGCTACGATAGATACACAAGGGCTGTGCGGGCTGCATGGCCGTTCGTGCCACACGAGGCAACGTTGAACTCGAGCATCGGGCGAAGCCATGGGCGCGCGAGTGGCGGCGCTGGAAAGGTGCACCCGCATGGCCTCGCCGTCGCCTTGCCGCCACGCCCACACTCACTCACACGCAACACTCGCATGTGCCACGCGAGCCCCCACCACGCGCCTCGTCAGACTCAAAAGGCATGACTCCTGCTGCGCCCACCTGCTGCGCCCACCTGCTGCGCCCACCTGCTGCATGTGGTCGAGTATGTTGTTTTGAGAAGTCTAAAAAAACATGTGGTCGCCTGCCAGCCTGCACCACATCATGTCTTCGCCAAACGTCATGCCTGCCTCTCCCCCAACTTCTTGTCCCTCCGCCCACACCCACCCCCACCTTTCCCCCCACCCCCCTGCCCGCGCGCACATCTGCAGCTACATCGCCCGTGAGCGCGTCAATGCTGCTGCGCGCCTGAGAGTCGCCATCAGCGCCGTGGCCGCCCGCGTGTTGGCTCTGAGACTTAAACGTAGTGAGTACGTGACTAAGCAGGTCACGAAAGTAGCAGTAGCGGGCTCCAAACTGGATCTGAAAGTTGAGAAATCAGGTTGCTTTCCAACCCAGGTTGCAAACAGAAAGTTTCACTATGAAAATTTGATACAATGAGGAAAACAGAACATGATATTTAAGCAATCTGAAATCCGAATTTCAATGTGCGCCTCGCGTAACGCGCCTCGTCGCGAATCCGAATTTCGTAACAGTAACCGGCATTGAAAACCGAAATTCAAACTGAACCGTCGGTGAAACCGACTTTCTTCAACTCCACCGAACACCGCCTCCAGAAAGGTTGGGAAAATTCTGGCGGTCCAGAACGTTCTCCCTTCTCTTCCTCTTCAAACCCTCGTTTTCACCAGCTCTTCCTCAGGATCTCTCACCTAACTCTTCCCACCGTCAGAACTCGTTATTCCAGCCTATTCTCTCCCACCGCCATAGGTAAGGCAATTTCCAAGTGTCCTGTTCTGTCGTTTTCATGCTCTAGAGTCGGTGCAGCGGCGAACCACTTCTAACATTGGCCGCCCGCGTGTTTGCCGCCCGCGTGTTGGCCGCCCGCGTGTTGGCCGCCCACGTATTGACTTCCCGCGGAATGGCTTTCCGTGCGCAAATCCGCAACCAGCTAGCCCTCTTCGCGTCTTTGGGGTCCGCGGCGCTCCCCGCGTTATGTCTGCCGCTGGGACGACCCCTCGCCTGTGATGGGCGCAGGCGGCGGGCTGTCTGAAACGCGCACGCGGAAGGTACCGGCGCAGATGCTGCGCGGGGAACAGATGGGGACCGATCAAGCGGCGACAGGCGGCAGGCAGAGGAGCCGCAGCGGCGATTCGACTCGCCTCAGAGGCCGCCGTGATGACGAAGATGGCAGCCCGCCGCGAGAAGGTGGCGGCGAGCGCGGCAACGGCGACGATACGGGCGAGAGTCGCCGCTGTCGCCACCACGACTGTGATGATTGCAACTGCGACAGCCGCTGTTGGTTGAGAGCGCGCGCAGCACTGCAGCGGCTCGGGAGCGGGCCTGACGCCCTCATGCTACCGCGGTGGCCGCGCTGCTGCGGAAACCTTTCCGCTGAAAGCTTGTCGCCATGGCGGCAGCGGAGGCGTCATGAGACGAGCTGAAAGTTGCTCTTTCCCTGGCGATCGCGAGCTCGTCTCGAGGCGACACCGAAACGCGCAAACTCTGCGATTAGTAGGCGTTGAACGGGCCGATTGCAGCGACAGCCGAATCGCATTTCGCCATTGAACCTACGCGGAGCACCACGACGGCCCGCAACGGGCGTCGCTCGAAACGGCGCGCACCGGCATCGCTCGCACGGCCATCACGCGGTCCGTCAACCGACGGCTTGACGATTGCGCCTCATTGAGAAACCTGAATGGCTCGAAAAAGTAAGTCGGCCCGTGTTAGGGCGTGTCCCACGAGTTCATTTGAGGAGAAAATAATATTTTTTACGTAATTTCGACAAAGCAAGAGAGTGTACACTTTGACGTGAAAAACACGCAGCGCGTCAGCACAGCACCAAACGAAATTGACCCACGCGGACTCAAAGCCCCACCCACACAAAAATTGTCATCCGAACATGGGCCGCGAGCGGTAACTCGCCACAGTGCGAATCAACTTTGCCCCTTGCGAATTTTATTGTTTTTTTCGCGCGACTGAATGTGCGCGAGGTCTCCGATTGGGGTAACGAAATGGAGGACCCGGTACGAAGTGATCTCACGTGCCTTGTACGGGGGATAGTACGAACCTCTTGACGTCTTAGGTGCGTCATCAGGTGCGTCATTGAAGACGCATGTCATGCAGGGAAGGGTTACAGACAGAAAACAGGGTTACAGCCTTGAACTTGAGCTGTAGTTGAACTCGTGGGACACGCCCTTAGAAAAACACTCACAGAATGTGGTTACCGAAGGTTGCGATGTCGCCTTACGAAGGGAGGTCACCATGTTCGTCAGACATTCGCGAATCGGCCTCCTTGTCCAAAACGCTACAGCCTCGATTCCTCAGAAATCGTTCGCCAGACGTTTCGAGAAGCATTTTCAGACCAGGCAGGCCGCAGGGCTGCTCCGTGTTTCACTTTCACCCGCCTCCTCTCCGCTCGCTCGAAGCACCGCCGTCCGATCTCAGCTTGTCTCTCTCCAACCTTCCTCACCGCCGCTAATTTCGTTCCATTCGCAGTGCGGGAATTTGTCGGTTGCTTTTCTTCGCATCCTCCAATAATGTTGCTGTGATTCCGTCCAACAAGCACCCCCCCTTTAGGTCAGTGTTAGCGACTGAGTTGGTTCCAACAGGGTCCTCGTCGCGGTTCCACCTTATAAAAATGCCGGATAACGACCCTACTGGCGACGATGGCGACACTCATCGCACTCCCGACGCGTCGCAGCCGCAGCCGAGCGACGAAGTCGCAGGCGACGGAAACCCCGGCGACGAAAATTCTGGCGAAGACGACGACGACACTCCCGAGGGCCGCGCGACGCAGCTGAACATGTACCTGTCGGACGACGGCGAAGTGCTGGACCTCACTGGTAACCAGCTCAAGGACCTCGCCGGCATTCCCCTCCCACCGACTCTCACCGATCTGGACCTCACCACCAACCGCCTCGCCGCGCTGGACCCGCGGATCGGCGACCTGGAGCGGTTGGAGAAGCTGTCGTTTCGACAGAACCTTATAACGGATGCCGCTGCAGCGGGGCTGAAGGATTTGACCCGGCTGACGTCACTGAAAGTGAGATTTCAGACCCCTGTCACCCCTAACCGTCGTGGCTGTTGGAGCGGACGGTGTGGATGCGTGTGATCGCGATCAGCGGGGAGCCAGAGCCCTCGCATTTCCCCCTCTCCCCATCTTTCCTCTCTCCCCCCTCGCCGCTCTCTCCCCTCTCCTTCCTCTCCCTCCTCTCCTCCTCCCTCTCCTCCTTCTCACTCCCCCCGCGCCACTCCCCCCGCGCCACGCCCTCCATCGCTCCCACCCCGCAGCAGCTCGTGCAGCGCCACGTCACGCAGTGGTCTCTTGAACTAGCTGCCCTGCGTATCGGCCCTGCCCTCCCCGCCGTCTCGCCCCGCACCCTCACACCAACCACATCCACGCCAGCCGCCCCGCACCCTCACACCAACCACATCCACGCCAGCCGCCCCGCACCCTCCCCCCTTTCCTCCCGCATTTCCGCACGCCCTGCTCTTCGCTGCCTTGCACGGTTGCACCTCTCCGCTCTGAATAAAATCCCACCCACTCTCCGCCGCCTCTCTTCCCCACCCCTCCTCCCACCCCCTTCAGGTGCTCGTCCTGCGAGGCGGCCTCTTTAAATAAGATCGCTTTGCCCTCCCCTCCCCTTCTTCCCTCCCTCTCCTCCCCACAACCCCAGGAGCTCGTACTGAGGGACAACCTCTTGAAGAAGGTGCCGCTCGTCTCCCCCCTCACCGCCCTCTCACTCCTCGACCTCTCCTACAATCACATTCACGCCATGGCGCCCCTGGCGGCCTCCGCCCTCCCCGCTCTGCGCGAGCTGTATCTGGCCAACAACCGCATCGGGCACATGGAGGCGCTGGAGGGCTTCACTCAGCTGCGCCTGCTGGAGCTGGGGTCCAACAAGATCCGGGTGAGACAGGGGGTGGGCAGGGTCATGGTGCAGTGCGGTGCAGCACGGTAAGTCCCCCTCCCCGCTCTGCGCGAGTTGCACCTGGCGAACAACCGCATCGGACACATTGAGGGGTTACCGCAGCTGAGGCTGCTGGAGCTGGGGTCGAATAAAATCCGGGTGAGTGTGGGGTGTGTGGGGGGGGGGAGGGGGGGAGGGGGGGGGGGTGTTGGTTAAATGCGGGGTGGGGAATGAGATGCAGTGGGGCAAGGCAAGCTTTGGAGGATGCAGTGAGGTGCAGTAAGGTGAGACAGGTCACGTCCTCCTTGCCCCTCCCTCCCGCTAAACGTGCGCGAGCTGTATCTGGCCAACAAACAACCACATGGGCCACATCGAGACACTATAGGGGTTCACGCATGCAGCTCAAGGTGGGGCGGGGTGGTGAGGCAAGCTCAAGGTGCAGTGAGGTGCAGCAAGGTGAGGGAGGCCGCCCCCCCTTTCCCCTTCCTCCCTTCCTTACCTGGCCAACAACCGCATTGGGTGCGGCGCATTCATGTACCGTAGGTGTTGTCTCACCTCACTAATCCTGTAGAGGAATATTCGGTATTCGAGAACTATTCGATATTCGTTCGAATACATGAATTCGAGAGAATAGGAATCGACCGAGAATTTGAAAATATTCGAATCACGAGTATTCGTGAATGTAGAACATTCGAGTAACGAATATTCGGGGTATTCGTTACCATTAACCCCCCTCATACTTTCCCTACATGCGGCTATCATCTTTGGCAGTCTGTGTCCAAGAGGCCTCGTGAGAGCCGTGCAAGATAGTAGCTGTTGAGGGGTTAGGGATAGCGCGTGGTGCAGGTTTGAACCGTGGTGTTGGTACTATAAGGTACACTGCATCACCCTGTGTCGAAAATCATTAGCCGTTCGAAACTGCTTGTACAGAATTTATTATTCGACACTTAATCGTATTCGATTCGAATTCGACAGTATTCGAATCGTATTCGTATTCGGTTTTGGGTCGGTCAGTATTCGGTAGAATAAGAAACCACACAGTATTCGGAGAATATTCAGAAAAAAAAAAAAAAAAATCGTATTCATATTCGTATTCGGATTTACAGGCTTACACCTCACCTGAGGCTGCTGGAGCTGGGTTTCAGCAAGGCCCGGGCCGGGAGAGATGGGTTGGGGGGTGATGCAAGTTTGTATAAGCAAGGTTGATCAGCGTGTGTGAGGTAAAGGTAAAAAAATCTCATTTCCAGTGACTTCACATGGGCATGAACACAGCCAGGAACTGGCCTTAGGCTGCTGGGCGCACCACTGACCGAGAGAGAGGGATTCCTTTCATCTGCCCGCACTCATTCATCTGCCCGCTGTCGCGTTATTAACACTTAGCTGGCAACTAAGTGTGAATTCCACAGCAGCCAAGGTGAGGTGTACTATAGTTTACTGCTTTTTGCATTTTACTTTGTTTGCTCTTTTTGGAATGTTACTGTACTATACAGAGTCGAGCTACTGAGGAGTTCGAGGGGGTTGGTGAGGAGGATGGGGGCGAATTCGATTCCAGCCAGCCTGGGAATTCAATTCGACATTCACAGGCTGGAAGGCGGTGCATGCCTAGTGGACCCAGCTAGCACCTTGAAGCCTACGCGATCAGCTCGGCTGACTCGCGCTTAGGAGTAGAGGTAGCTTGCGGGACAAGGCACCTAGGCAGGAGAGGATGTAGACGGGAGTAGCGCTCAGACTCATTGCTTTTTGCTTGTATGTTTCTCATTTATTGCAATTGTGATTTCCTAATCCACGAGGAACTAGCAGTAGAGATGAGCTGAAGCAAATCGGCGGAGCCCTTGCGAGGGAGGTAAGTCTTGTTTCATACAAGCAAAAAGGGTGGTCAGGATTACGATTGTTGAGAGTAGAGGTGGCAGGATCTACTGCCTAGAGTTGCTCGCGGTGATGCACCGTGAGGAATGAGTAATTTTGACCGCGAGCTTCACACTCATCAACTGCGCTCTGGACACCGATTCCCGGCGAGGATGATGGAGGGACGTGATCCGCCGGTCAGGATGCCTGGATTTCGGGCAGGCGAAGGAGGGACGAACCCACGCGGTAACCAAGGCGGGGATCGGGAGGAAGAACGAGGTGTACACGGAGAACAACAGCCGAGCTCGGCATGTGACTCGCCCGCGGAGGGGAGCGGAGGGCGACCTGTGGGGAGTGGATCTCGCCGAGGAAATCCAGATCTGGGAGGAGACGATCCACATGAAGATCGACGGAGTCAGAAGGGAGGGGAAGATCATCGAGAAGAAACGCGGAGTCTGAGAGGAGAAGAAGATCAACGAGAAGAAAGGCGTAGTTTGAGGGGAGGAGACGATCAATCGGAGGAACGACGAAGCCAACGAGGCGGGGAAGCATATCACGGATTCTCTGCCGGAGGATACGAAGCCACGGAGGCCGGGAGAGCAGGGCGACCTGCAGGGAGTGGAGAACGAGGGAACACAAGCTGGGGGACAGGCCGGTCGATGAGTATTGCACCACCCAAAATTGAGGTACCAGACCGCTTCTCGGGGGCACCTGGAGAGGAGCCCACGCTGAAAAACTACCTGATGATGATTGAAGACATTCGCTACTGCTGGGACAGGGAGCGACTGGATCCTATCGAATTTTTCAGAGGCTTGGGGAGGACTCTCAAAGGAGAGGCGTTGAATCATTACCGTGTGGAGAGGCAGGGGCTGCTGATGCGGAGCAACAGAGGAGATATCTTACCGGCAGAGATTACGGACCGTTTCTTGGATAGCCTGCAGGAGCAGTTCCCGGGGCATTCGGCTGATCGGATGGCGGAGTTTCAAGACTTCATAAGAGCGCCGGCAGAGTCGCTGTTGGCCTACTATAACTGTCTACTGGAGCTGGCAGAGGATATGGGCTGCGTGGAGGAACGCATCCTAGTGACCAAGTTTGTCAACGGACTGGATGGGGACTTGATACGAGACATGAGAAGCCGACTATACTCCTTCAGGGTACGGGCTAAGCTGCGACAGGTGTACGAGGTGGCGAAAGAAGTGGAGGATGGAAAGAGGTTCTTCGAAGGAATGAGGGGGTCAAGCTCCAATTGGCCGAGCGAACGTCGGAGGCCTGCTTGGGCAGCGGTGGAAGGGAGACAGGGGGAAGAGGAACGAAGAGAGGCCGTCTGAAGATAGACGCAGGTGTTACAAGTGCGGCGAAATGGGGCACGTGCGGAAGGATTGCGCCATAGACATAGTGTGCGACACATGCAAGATGAAAGGACATTTCAGACGTGACTGCCCCAAGGCACCTATCTGCACCGGATGTGGGAAAAGGGGGCATACTGAAGACAGGTGCTACAGCAAGGGAGAGAGAATGCGAGGAAAATCGGCAAGGGAGTTACAGTTAGAGAGAGAGTTGGCGAAGCTGAAGGGTCAGCTGGAGAAGACTGGGATTAGTGAGGACCCTGAGAAGGCATTGCTGGCTTGGGAGGACGATGAAGAGGAGGAGTATGAGAGAGAGGAGGCGGAGTACGGGGCCATGGCTATACCACCTAGAGACCGAGAGGAGTTGGGGTTGCGCAGCAGTGGGAAGGATGGCAGGACAAAGCAGAAGCAGCCTGAAAGGAGAACCCCTCGGCAACGAGAAGAAAGTAATAAGCCGAGGACGGCTCGACGGCATCCTGAGGAGAGACTCGTCTGCCAACCCACGGCTCTGGTGGTAGAACCTAAGGCAGTGGCTGTCAGGGGCATACTAGTGGAGAACGCCGTAGTGGATACAGGCGCACAGAGTGTCCTGCTGGGAAGGAAGCTGACAGAACAGTTACGGGAGAAAGGGGACTTGGAAATAGTAAACAGAGGCATACTGATCATGACAGCTGAAGGAGGGGCACCAAAGTGGATGCCCTGTACTAAGGACCCCATCGAGATTACTCTGCAGCCGGGAGAGAAGGGAGAAACGACGATAAGAGTGCAATGTGGGCTGACGGAATCGGAGGATTATGATGTTCTGCTGGGGATGGAGCTGCTATTCAAGATAGGTACAACAATATGTACCTGGCAGGAACAGGTGCTCTACCGCTCGATTTCTGGATCGAGGGAAAGGAGTTGAGTGAGCTGCCGGTGCGGTTTGTCAAGACAGAACCGAAGAAGGCTTGGAGGGCGGAGGGCATGAGAAGAGAGAGCATAAGGAGGGGGAGTACCAAAGAGGGTAAGGTCGGAGCTAACCTGGACCAATATAGCGTTATCTTAGTGGAGCTGTTTGGAGGGTTGGGGGCAGGCTTAGCGGCGGCATTGGAAGCAGGCCTGAAGGTGAAAAGATGGGTGTATGTGGAAATAGACCCAGAGGTGAAGAGGATGGCTTGGAAGCATGCACAGATACTGCAGCAGCGGTACCCAGCTCAACTGGCGAAGGAAGTGATACGGGAGGCCATGCAGAATGAGAAGTGGGATGTGGGACAGCTTACCAAGGAAGATGTGAACCGCTGGGGAAAGGTGGACCTGTTGGTAGCAGGGTGGGAGTGCCAGGGTACTTCCCGAGCGGGGAAGGGAAGAGGAATGCAGGATGACCGCACGGCGATGGTGACAACACTGCTGACGATTATGAGGTGGGCGAGAGAATCTGGCGGGGAATATGCTTACATCCTAGAACATGTGGATATGAGGAGTGATATCAGGGAGCCGGTCCGAGCCGTACGCGAGCTGGTGGAGGCAGAATTGGGAAGGGGAGTGAGTTGTGACGGGGCACAGCTAGGGGCAAGGTGTCATAGAGTGCGGCAGTACTGGCAGAACGTCCTGCCAGAAGGAGAACTGAGGGCGAGATTAGCAAGGGTGGAGAGAGATGAGAGCCGAATTGTGGAAGACATCCTGGAACCAGGGAGAGTGGCCGCCCCAGTGGTAAAGCCAGATCATCCGTGACAGTATCACTGTAACCGAGTGGGGGAAGCGAGGAGGGCCTGGCCGACACTGGTGGCCTATTCAAAGGCACGGGGATTTGTCGAAGTGGAAGGGACTCCAGGTCCAGGGATGGTGTATGATCACCGTAAGAAAAGATGGGAGGAGCCGACGGCTTTGGAGCGGGAATTAGCCATGGGGTACCTGCCGGGGGCAACAGCAGCAGACGGAGTGGGGGAGGAGGTGCGCAAAGCTGCCTTGGGCCGAGCCATAGACCAGCACTCGCTGCGATGGCTAGTTAGTGAGATGAGAAAGGGGCCAGCCGAGAAAAGGGGAAAGACGGAAGAGGAGAAGGGCAGGGGCGGCAAGCAGGCTGCTTACACCGCTGTCAGCAAGCTCACAGACGAAAAGGAGATCGATACTGCACCACCAGTAGGCAAGGAAGCAGAGCCGGGCAAAACCTGGGAGCTGGGGGCAGGTATAGGGGAGCAAGCAGCTGAAGCAATCAGGGAAGTGTTGCAGCAGCATAGGGGCACCTTCGCCTATAACCTGCAGGAATTGGGGAGATACAAGGGGAGAGAGCTGGAGCTGAACCTCACGACCGAGCTACCTACATACCAACGCAGGAGGCGAATGAATGCGGAGGATGCAGCCATCTGCAAAGAGAAATGTGAGGAGTTGCTAGCTGCAGGGATTATTCGCCCGTCAGAATCAAGTTACGCGGCGGCCACGGTTGTAGCTGCTAGGAAGGATATCACGGGAAAGATTCTAGCGAAGCGGATGTGCGGGGATTTCCGGGAGCTGAACAAGATTACAAGCCCTGACAGATACCCTATGCCGACTGCTGAAGACATTTTCGACCGGCTGGAAGGGGCCACCGTCTTTACCACCTTGGACCTGCGGCAGGGCTTCAATCAGATAGGCATTAGAGAAACAGATAAACGGAAAACTGCATTTCACGGGGTGGACGGGTTGTATGAGTACAACGTTATGCCTTTCGGGCTTCGGAACGCACCAGCAGTGTTCCAGAGAGCCATGGATCAAGTGCTGAAGGGGATTCCAGCCGCAGCCTGCTACATTGATGACGTGTTGATTTACAGCAGCAGCGAAGAACAGCATGTGCAAGATCTGAAGCAGACTCTAGAGGCAATAGCAGCTGCGAGGCTGACGTGTCACCCAGATAAGTGTAAGATGGCGAGGCACACGGTGGCCTACCTGGGGTTTGAAGTGAAGGGCGGTCGGCTGGCCATACAAGAGGCGAAGGTTAAGGTGCTGGAGAACCTGGCAGCGCCAAAGGACAAGACAGGGCTGCGGGCGTTACTCGGCTTTCTGAATTATTACAGGAAGTTTGTATCAAACTTCAGTCGCCGCGCCTACGTGTTGAACCAGCTGCTGAGGGAAGGGAAGAGCTGGCAATGGGGAGAGGTGGAGGAGGCAGCAAGGCAGGACTTGCTTGAAGCGGTTAGGACAGGGACCTTACTGCAGATACCGAGGGCAGAAGCACCTTTCATCCTGTACACTGACTGGAGCAGTACTGGGAATGGGAGCGGTGCTCTGCCAAGAAATCGAGGGAGAGGAAAGAGTGATAGCCTTTGCCAGCCGCAGCTGCAGCCCATCCGAGGCTAACTACTGCTCATACGAGGGAGAGGGCCTGACGGCAGTGTGGGGAATCACGCATTTCAAGGTATACCTGCAGGGCCGGCACTTCACATTAGTGACTGATCATCAGCCACTGCTATGGTTGATGACTAATCAAGAGCTGACGGGAAGAAACGCTCGATGGGCTATCAAGTTGCTGGGATTCGACTTTGAGATCCGGCACCGACCGGGTAAAACACTGCAGCATGCAGATGGGCTGTCAAGGAACCCACCACCGATGCAGCCGGTAGCGCAGCTGGCGGCCTTAGCCCACGCCGTGGCCGTGACCTGGGGGCAGGAGAAGGGAGAGAAGCAGTTAGCAGATATATGGGAGGACGAGGAGACCATACACTAAATCAAAAGGGAGCCACTGGAGGAGGAAGGCGTAAGTGAGAGAGCAAGAGCCAGAGGGCAGCATTACAGATGGTTTCAGGAGCAGCTGCAGCTGAGGACCAGCGAAGGATGGAGGGTAGTACCGCAACCGCAAGAGAGGAACAGGATCATGGGGAGGGTGCATGCGAAGCTAGGACATTACGGCATCACCAGGACACGGCAGCTGTTGAGCACCATGTACTGGTGGGCAAGCATGGGGAAGGATGTGGCAGGACTGGTAGCCAGCTGCGAGGCTTGTCAAAGGAATAAAGCAAGGCTGGAAAAGGAGAGGGAGGAGCTGAACTCACTACCGATTCGGGGGTTAGGTTACAGGTGGTCGCTGGACCTGGCAGGAGAGTTGCCATTATCAAAAGGAGGGAAACAGTACATTCTGATCATGGTTGAGCACACGAGCAAATGGGTGGAGGCGCGGGCATTACCAAGCAAGAGCAGCGCACTGATAGCGGACGCATTCGAGGAGTTAGTACTGACCAGGTACGGGGCATGTGGAGAGGTGCTTACCGATCAAGGGACAGAGTTTCAAGGGAGCTTGGATGAGCTGCTAGAAGAGATGGGCATCACGCATCGTGTCACCTCAAGGTATCACCCTCAATCGGACGGGCTGACAGAGAGGCTCATACAAACCGTGAACAAAGGACTTCGGGCCTATGGAGAGACACACAAGAGGAGTTGGGACAGGGATCTCTGGTGGGTGCTTGCAGGATACCGGTTTGCGAAGCAGGCAGCGCTGAAGCATCTGTCCCCGTATCATCTACTGTACGGACGGGACCCGGTGCTACCTGTGGATGCACCGAAGCTGCTCTCGGCAACAATTGAAGCGGACGAGCCGAGCCTGTGGGCGGGACGGGATTAGCGGAGAAGAGGGCGAGGTATCTGAAAGAGCTGACTCCAGCTGCCTTGGATAATCTACACGTGGCGCAGCTGAGGGATGCAAGGCGGTACCAGCAGCGCAAAGCAGGAGGGATGGGAGGAAAGAGTGACAAAGTGGAAGCGGGGCAGGAGGTGTACCTGCGCAGGGCTAAGCGAGATACGCTGGACTTAGCTGTGGGACCGGAGCGATGGAGGGTGAAAGAGGTAAGGGAGTCGGGGGTGCTAGTACTGGAGGATGATCGAGGGGAGTACCTGAAGGAGCATATCACCAACGTGGCCAGGGCGGGAAGGGAGAAGCCTCAGGCATTGGATCCCGTATCTGGAGCAGCTCGGGTGCGTGCTCAGTCACGGGAGGGGGCAGGGAATACTGAGATACGAGGAGGGGATCAGAACAGAGTGATTACATACGTCAGGAGGAAGAAGGGATGAGCCGGTCCCCTGGATGAGAGGCGGAGGGAGAGGGAGGAGGAAGTCAGGCAGGGATTCAAGGGAGAGTGAGAAGGAAGGGACAGCAGAGGGGGATTCACGACACCGCACTCATTCATCTGCCCGCACTCATTCATCTGCCCGCACTCATTCATCTGCCTGCCCCATCTCATGCTCTATCCCTTGTCCGCCTTGGAAGAGACGCCTTTCTTTTAAAAGTCCATCCCACGCCCTCCCCACGCCCCCCATACGCTTTTCCTTCCCCATGCACTGCCAGGAGATGGAGAATGTATCGCAGCTGTCGGCCCTGGAGGAGCTGTGGGTGGGGCGCAACAAGATGAGGGAGGTGCGCGTGGCGGGGCTCACGGCGCTGGTGAAGATCAGCGTGCAGAGCAACCGCCTCACCTGCATGCGCGGATTCGAGGTGCGCTAGTGGGAGTGAGACAGTGTGTGTGAGGGTGCAAGGCTGAGAGTCTGAGTGTGTGAGCGCATAAACGAGCGGGTAGTAGCGGGTGAAGATGAGCGAGCAGAGCAGAGCAGCCGACCCGCCCACAGGCACGGGTTCGAGGTGCGCAACCAGCGCAGATTGGAGGTGCGGAGCGATAGCAAGATTGTGAGCAACCACAGGCGAGAGCGTGCAGAGGAACCGACTCACATGCATGGTGCGTAAGCGACACGGATTGGAGGTGCGAGAGCGTGCTGCAGAGCAGAGCAACCCACTTACCTCCCTGTTTGCCTGCCTTCGTGATGAGTCACCCTTTTCGAAGCAAAGAAGCCGCTGTACTGTATCACAGAGCAAAGAAGCCGCTGTACTGTATCACAGAGCAAAGAAGCCGCTGTACTGTATCACAGAGCACAGAAGCCGCTGTACTGTATCACAGAGCACAGAAGCCGCTGTACTGTATCACAGCAACAGCGGCGACAGTGCAAGGGAGGCGTGCCTTGCCTTTCTCGCCACCGGCCTTCATCCTACCTCTATAACCCTCCCTCCCTTTGCTCCCCACCCACCCCCCCCACCACCACCACCACCAGTCGTGCACGCGGCTGCAGGAGCTGTATCTGAGCAACAACGGCATCAGTGTGATGGAGGGGCTGGAGGCGCTCACCAACCTGCGCATCCTGGACCTCGCTGCTAATGCCATCATCCCACGTGCAGGGGCTGGACACGCTCACCAGGTGGGCTGGTGTGTGTGTGCGAATGTGGGAGTGTGCGAGTGTGGGAGTGTGCGAGCGTGTGAGTGTGCGAGTGTGCGAGTGTGCGAGTGTGCGAGTGTGCGAGTGTGTGAGTGTGCGAGTGTGCGAGTGTGTGTGAGTGTGCGAGTGTTTGTGTGTGTGCGAGTGTGCGAGTGCGAGTGTGCGAGTGTGCGAGTGCGAGTGTGCAAGTGCGAGTGTGCGAGTGCGAGTGTGCGAGTGCGAGTGTGCGAGTGCGAGTGTGCGAGTGTGCATCAGCAGCATGGAAGGTTGAGGCGCTCACCAACCCACACCCCCCTATCGTTGCAGCCTGGAGGACCTGCGTGGCTGAAAAACAACCGAATCGAGTTGCCTGCTCGGCCCTCATCCCCTCGAGCCCCGCATGCCCATCACATCACTGCTTCCGCCCTCATCTACCCCACGCCCCTCGTCCCTGGCTCCCCCTTGCCTCTGCAGCCTCGAGGACCTGTGGCTGAACGACAACCGCATCGAGTCTCTCGCGCAGCTCATGGCTGCCCTGGACGGCCCCAAGGCGTCGCTTGTCACTCTCTACCTCGAGCGCAACCCCTGTGTGAGTCCAGGGTTTAGGCCCAGGGCTTAGGGTTTCGGGCCCAGGGGTTAAGGCTTAAAGATTTAGGCTCGTGACACTCTACCTCGAGTGCAACCTGTGTGTGAGTTTAGGCGCCCTCTCTCTGCTGTCCCCTCTTCTCCCTCCATCACCTCCCGTCTTGACACCCATGCATCTACCTCGAGTGCAACCCCTGTGTGAGCGCGGCGCAATCCCTGTGTGAGGGGCTAGGCTGGCAGAGAGGGCATATGCCTGTGCTAGTGGGCTGCCTGTGCGAGTGCACCCTCAACATGCTAATGTATCAAATGGGGTGTATGCAATCTCCTCTCCCTCTCATTCTTCACTCTAACACCATTCCTCTCATCCCTAAAACCTTTCTCCCCCTCCCACCAGGGAGAGTGCACGCCAAGGAGGCAGGGCACGTATGTGCGTTGACACTTTAGCCCGCGCATCTCATCCCTTCCCCCCCTCACCTCCATGCACTGGTGCAAGGAAGCAGAGCACACAGAGATCCAAGCCCTCTCTCTTGCCCTGCCTCCCCGTCTTGAAACACACGCATGCATGCACTGCGTTCTGCAGGCCAAGGAGGCAGGGTACATAGAGACTCTCGCCAAGATGCTGCCCAGGGCAGAAGAGATCGACTCCAAGCCCGTTAGATGATCCATGCATGGCTGTTCAACGCACTTGGATCAAGGACCAAGCTTCACAGGTGCCATAGGAATGCTGGTCGAAGTATGGATCGTTCGTGATTGGCCCACAATGGAGTAGCAGGGTGGTATAAGAACGGAGGTGAATTCAATAAGGTCAAGCAGTAGTAAGAAAGGATGAACCAATTTTGGGAGATTTTGACTGAAGAGTTTTACGCATGCATTAGAGCCTCTGGGCTTCTGTGTCTTGCCCTGCCATAGTCAGCCTGTGGAATGCTCCTCACGTTTGTTGCTCTAGCAATAGATACTGTTGCCTGCTCTAACCATTGTGGATGGATGTGCACCACCAGTTCAGTAATGCCAACGTGTGCGTCGTTGATACCGTCCCAGAACCAAGCTCTGGTGAAATTTCATTGTAATCGAAAAAACCCATCATATACAGAGACTTGAGAACTACCATAACCTTCCTGGAAAAACAACTAGACTCAGAGCGTATTCCTATCCTCATATCAAGAGAACCTCATATCAAGATTGTACTTTTTGCCTGGTAAAACTAGCAAGAGGTTTCGGGTTTAAGGGAATTTTCAGTGGGAGGTTGATATGAGGTTCTCTTGATTCGAGGATAGGAATAAGCTCTCAGCATAACCGCAGAGCAAGGCAGCTTGTCAGAGTCAGACAGACCAAGTGTCAGCTGCCTGTTAAGACCAAACCCTATGCTTGTGCTGTATGAGAGCGGCTACAGGAGCAGCAGCTGCACTCCGCTGCACGGCCGGAACGCACGGGTGTAACGGTTACAGAACGCGGTTACAGCAGCACTCCATTGCGGAGCAGGGCAGGGCAGGGGTGTGCCTGTCAGTACTTGTAGGGCTGCTGCTGCGAGGGCAGGAGCTTGAAGCGCGACTTGCATGCCACCCGCTGCTTCGAGTACTTGTCGTCCGGGGAGAAGCGTGCTGGTGGGGGTAAGCAAGGTGGGGATGTGTGGGGACACGTGGGAATAGGTGGGGAGGGATTGAGAACGGTGGGGACGGTTGGGGATGATGGGAGGCCTGACTTGCATGCCATACTTCTGCTTCGAGTACTTGTCATCCGGGGAGAAGCGCGCTGGTGGGTGCAAGATAGAGAGGGGACGTGGGAATAGGTGAGGAGGGGTTAAGGAAGGTGGGAAAGGGTGGGGATGATGGGAGACCTTGATCCCAACAAGGCGTGCAGTGCCTGCCACCCTCTGATTGTAGTACTTGTCATTTGGGGAGAAACGCGCTGGTGGGGGGAGCAGGGTGGGAATAGGTGGGGAGGGTCTGGGAAAGGTGGGGAGGGATTGGGAAAGGTGGGGAAGATTGGGGTGGGGTAAATGTGTGGGTATATGTGGGGATGAGTGGGGATGGGTGGGAATGGGTGGGGATGGGTGAGCATGATAACACCAGTTTCGGCCCAATGACCCAGGGCACGGGGCGTTATAGCAGGAGAGCATGACTCGATACAGCCACACTTGAAAGTGAGCACTTTTCAGTGCGCGAAGTTAGGTTTGTGTTTTTTTAGCGCCTGAACACACCCACTGCTGAAAAAACTCATCGTCAAGGCGAGCTTGCGACAAGAAGCAGAGAGGGGCGGGGTGCGGATGCGACAGCGTGATCGCATTCTGCAAGAACCTGCGATCAGCCGTTGGTGGCGCCGAGACGAGCGACGAGTGTGCGACGAGGGTTAGAACAGGAAGGGGTTTAATGAAAACAGCAAAAATTAGCGTCAGGAAAGGCAGAGCAGGAGCAGGCTAGGGAGAATAGCTCGTGGGCGAGCTCGACACGCCGCGAGGAGGCCAGCGTCGAAGGGGGGAGCAGCGAGAGGGGGGCAGCGAGGGGGGGGAAGCGAGAGGGGAAGCAGCGGGGGGGAGAGCAGCGAGGGAGAGTGCAGCGAGGGGAGGAGGAGCGCAGCGCACGGACCTGGGTGTGCAGACTGCGTAGGCTTGGAGCCGTCGGGCTCCATTCTCTGCGCGCAATCACGGGGAGGGTCGGGAGGGCGAGGCACAGCGTCATAAGCAACTTCGATACGATTCCAAATGACGATTGTATAAAGAAAAAAGACACATTGCTGCCTCGCGCCCCATCATGTCATGCCGCATCATCCGACGACGAAAGGGAAACCCGTCCCTGACCAAGCATATGACTGTCTGCGGCGACGGCGAAGCTGCGTGAACTAATATGCGAAATCCTCAAAGATGGACTTACCTGGAGAGTGTATACTTTTTTGCCCTCGTCGTCAATATACACCTGAAGAAACATGATGGCTGCTGGCTGCGCGAACTAGATCTCAGGAACGACGAACGCCGCGAAGTGGACGAAGCGCTACGTCCTGACACAATATCTAAGACACAGCGAATGGTCACGTAGCTGCTAAGAAAGGGCGTGGTGGAGAGGTGGAGACCGATAAACAGATCGTTGCTGGCGTATTAGGGTTCAGCGGGTTTTCCAGACAGAGGGCGCTGGTTTGTTTGGGAAGGGGTTTTGACCTCCATGCGGGAGGCTTTGGGTAAGGGCGTGTTCAGCTTCGAAACACGAGTAGAACTCTGACTGGGGTTGGTACCTCTTCTGGGAGATGCACTGGATTTAGAAACTCGGGAATGTGGCCCTTGCGAAGAAAGCAATGGTCGTTGCGACATCAACGAGCGGAACGATTTCCGAATACCCACATCAGCGAAACTAATCGAACATCTGCTGCGATGAATGAAATACGCCTGCTGCGAAGCTGGAGCCAATCAATTGCTTGCCGAATTGGTTGCCATTGGCTCAAACTTGTTTTTCAGAATATGATTTTTTTTTAAGTGTGTAACACTTTCTAAAAATATGTATTATGAAAGCGCAGCTGACTGCATCGAAGCAAGGCAACTGCGAATGCCTATTCCCGACTACATAATGAGGGCAGGAGGCCATTTGGCCTCCACCCACGTCTTCATTTTCGGAACTTGACAGTTCCGCTTAATTCTCGTCCAACCACTCGCAATGTTCATCTCCTTACCAATTTCAGAAACAACCATCGAGACATATTTTCAAGTAGCTAGGATGTTTACGTTGAAGGGCCACATGATAGCGCTCGTGATTATACTTGGCGTACGCTCAACTGAGACAGAAGTGCGCCGGACGAAACGGCCACTGGCGCGCCAGAGACGAAATCGCCACTTGCGCCAGTGGCACGCGCCAGAGACGAAATCGCTAGTGGCGCGCGGCAGGGACGAAATCGCCAGTGGCGCGTGCCACTGACGAAATCGCCACACGCGCGCCTGTGGCGAAATCGCCACTTGCGCCAGTGGCGACATTGCCACTAGCGCGTCAGGGACGAAAGGGACACAGTGGCAGCAGTGACGAAACTGCCACTCTAGCGTCTGTGCCATTGACTGCAGCGTCACCCACCTGCGCACCTTGTCACCTCACCACACATTGTGTTGCGATGCATATGCTGCAAATCTTGTTCAGACTTTTTCTCAAATTTATTTTCTTTTATTTTCTGTTGTTTCTTATCTCTCACTAATTCCGATTTGATTTTAATTCCTTGGTGGCAGAAAAACGGGCACGTGATGTCGATGGTGAAGGGACGCGCACCAAACTCCACCACTCGTGCGGAAAATCGCAACGATTACCGGACCTACTCCACGCGCACCCAACGACGCTCTCGATGAACTCGAGGACTGCGAGTCGCAACGTCGCTCCGAGAGCCGTCCCACAGGTGGGGAGGGGACCGAGGGTCCCCATGTTGGCCTGAGAGCCGTCCCCCAGGGGGGGAGGGGACCAAGGGTCCCCATGCTGGCCTGAGAGCCGTCCCCCAGGGGGGGAGGGGACCAAGGGTCCCCATGCTGGCCTGAGAGCCGTCCCCCAGGGGGGGAAGGGACCAAGGGTCCCCATGCTGGCCTGAGAGCCATCCCCAAGTGGGGAGGGGACCAAGGGTCCCCATGCTGGCCTGAGAGCCGCCCCCCAGAGCGCCACTGCCTTAGGGAGGGAAAGAAAACAGACAAAAACTGAGATTGGGAAAACCACACTTGCCGGTATTGTGCAGGTGGATAAGTTGTAACCTTGGCTATTATGTTTACAGTTATGAATGATTTCCAAAAAAAAAAAAAAAAAAAAAAAAAAAAAAAGGAGCAGTCCTTGCTGTCGTTGGATGTTGGAGCCACACCACACCACAAGTTATGTTTGGACTAAGCTTACTAAGCTTTCGGCCTCTCGCGCTCAGTTACGACGGACATATGTTTTCGTATACGAATGTACCATCAGTGTATAGTGAACATTAAAAAAAAAATGTTTGGACTTACCGGGGTAAGGTTGGTAGTGTGCAACCACCAGTGGCAAGGATAGATATTGAGAAGAAACGAGAATGACTGAACTATGAAAGAGAATGAGTATAAGTACTAACCCTAATTGGGTTGTACCTGTCAGAGTATTATAGCTGATGCATGTTTGTAGGCTATAGTGGGGTTGCACATATGGGGTACAGAGTTTCTAGGGTTGTATTTGTACCCAATCTTTCCTTAGTCATTTCATTCCTGTTTTCCTTGCTTCACATGGTATCAGAGCGGGTCCTGCCTTAGGACCGTTTTTTTAGGGCCCACCGAAGCGCGCCCCGAGGCGCGCCTTTTTTTAGCGACCCCTCGGGTCGCCTTTTCCCTCGCGGCCCCGCTGTCCCTCAGACGCGGCCCCGCCACCTCTCCTGATCGCGGCCCCGCCGCCTGCTTGACGCGGCCCCGCCGCCTCCCCTGACGCGGCCCCGCGTCTCATGCTTCTCTACCTCTTTCCTGACCTCTCTGCCTTTCCCACTGTCGCTGACCTCATTACTCACCTCCGCACTAGTGACACTCGCTACCGCGCCGCCCTTCCTGCTGAGTTCTGCGCTAAGAACCCCCCCCCCCATGTACATCGCTCTCTACTACGTAGTCACGCGCCTCCCTGACTCCCTTCGCGTCGTCAGGGACCACTTTCTCGCAGTCTGTCCCACCACCCTCACCGTCGACCTCCTCGAGAAGGCCCTCCTCGC